TGATACGGTGGATTGGCGGTTCCTTATTGTTATGCTTGAAGGTTTGGGGTTTCACCCTGTTATGGTTAAGTGGATAAAGGAGATGATTTCGACTCCTTCTTATTCTTTAGCCATCAATGGTAATTCCTATGGTTTCTTTCTTGGTGGGTGGGGTCTTCGTCAGGGTGATCCGTTGTCCCCCTATCTGTTTACGATTGTTATGGAGGGATTTTCTCTGCTCCTTCAAAAGTGTATTCGGGAGGCTGCTGACTTTGGTTACCATCGGGGTTGTGAGGACTTGGATTTGACTCATTTATGTTTTGCGGATGATTTGTTTGTCTTTACCAAAGGGGATGTTCTTTCTATTGAAGTGCTTAAAAAAGCTCTGGCTCTCTTTCAGCAATATTCGGGATTAGCGCCTAGTCTTGAAAAAAGTGACATTTATTTTGGTAATGTTCCTCCCAACATTAAGGCGGCTATCCTAGAATGTCTCCCCTTCAAGCTAGGTATTTTTCCTGTTCGATATTTGGGTGTTCCTTTATCGCAATCTCGGTTGAAGACTTGTGACTATGCTCCACTGATTGCTAAAGTGAAGGGCCGTATTCTTAATTGGAAATCTAAGTTTCTTTCGTTTGGTGGACGGCGTCAGCTTATTATATCGGTTCTCCAATCTCTTCAGCTTCATTGGATGTCGGTTTTCTTATTCCCATAGGGTATCATTCATGATCTTGAATCTATATTTAGGAAATTCCTTTGGGCTCCAAGGGAAGATCCTCGTGGTAGATGTCGGTTATCATGGGATGTGGTTTGTAGACCATTGGAATCTGGGGGTCTTGGAATTAAGAGACTATCCACTTGGAATCGGGCGTTACATGCAAAACATGTGTGGGATATTGCTAGGCGACGGGATTCTATGTGGGTTCGTTGGATTTATAGTAATAATCTCCGTTCTTCGAATTTCTGGCTGGTTCGTAAGAATTCTAATTGGTCTTGGGTTTTTCGTAAACTATTAGACTTGCGGAGTCATTTGCRTCGGTTTCTCTTTTCTCAAATTGGTGATGGTCGGGACACGAATGCTTGGGAGGATGCTTGGTTACCTTATGGTCCTCTTTCCGCTTTTATCTCTTTCCGGTTTGTCCATTCATGTGGGTTCTCTACCTTAACGACGGTTCATGATCTTATTATAAGCTGGAATGGTAATTGGCCTGATGATTGGTATCAACGGTTTGATATGCTTCATAATACTCCGTTACCTTTATTGACCTCTGTTCGTGATAAGAGTTCTATGGGGGGACAATTATACTATGTGTTCGGATTTTACAGTGGGTAATGCTTGGGCTTCCTTAGAGGGTAATCATCCTGTGATCCCTTGGTCTAAATTGGTATGGTTCTCGGGTCATATTCCGAATCATGCATTCTGTTTATGGTTGGCTTGTCAGAGACGGCTTCCGACTCAAGACCGTTTACATTGGAAGGATGAACCACCAGATTTGGAGTGTTCGCTTTGTGGTCAATGTTTGGATAGTCATGATCATTTATTCTTTCAATGTTTGTATGTTGGAGTTGTATGGACTAGTGTTTTACATATGGTGGATATGCCGGGTATGCCTTCAAGGTGGGAGCAGATTGTACAAGTTATTTCGGATTCTAATAGTCGTCCGAAATTGTTAAAGCAGAAGCTTGCTGTGGCCGCTGCTGTTTACTATATTTGGCAGGAGCGTAATAGAAGACTTTTTTCTGCAACTAAGCGTACGGCTCAGGATCTTATTGCGGTTATTAGGGATTCTATCTCCATTCGTGCAGATTGGTTGGCAAGTCGTCTTGTGCTTACTTATGGTTGACTTGAAGACTTGTTTTTGGTTCTGGGGGGGCTTTGGTTTGGGTTAAGCTTCTCTTTTTTATCTTCTGTTGTTTGTTGGCTTCTTATGGGCTTTGTTTCTTTTGGCTTGTTGTGGCTTGGTTGGGGTGTTTCCCACGGCCTTGGTGCTTTTGGTTGTAGGTTGCGGTCTGTCTGTTTTTTGGTGGCGTTGTAAACTTTTTTACTGCGTTTTATAAATTTGCCGAAGTTTTCTTTCAAAAAAAAAAAAGACCTGATCAAACTAGTATCATTTTATGTCAATTAGACTCCTTATGTGGGGAAGGGTTCACTAGGGTTTGACTTTTTCTCTCAAGGAGGCGTGATTGAATGAAGATGATGATGATGTTTTCGTATGCTCCTTGTTGATGTTTATGCATTTTTTGCTTGGTTTTCGTTCGGTTTGCTTCGTTCGTATTTCACACGGCATTTTGCGGATTAGGGTTTCAAGGTGACGGCGGCATTGGGAGTTCTTGGTTTTCGTTCTTATTTGTTTTGAAGGATTGCGTTCATTTCTAGGAGGCTTGCGCTCGTTTTTGTTTGGAGGTTCTTTCTTATTGTTTTGATCCCGTTATCTTCTTCAAAAGCCGATTAGGGTTTCTCGGTTTTGGTGGAGGCGGCATTAGGGTTCTTCAATAAGGTCGGTTTTCGAATTTGTTTGCTTTGGTTGGTTGTTTCTCGATTGTGTGGTTGATTTATGATCGCATTCCCATTCTTTGGTCTTCCGTGTGGTATTCAACACTATCGACTTTTCTTCTTGGCCGTACGTACACGGTTAGGGTTTTTTGGCCCTACGGTTTGCTGATTCTTTTGGGAAGGAGTGATCGATCGTTGGTTCTTGCTTTAAGGGTTTTTGTTTGCTTGATTGAGGCTGTTGCTCTCGGTTTTCAAATCCAGGGCTAGGGGTGTTTTGGTTTTTCCTTGGCTAGGGTTTGCATGCGCCTAGTATTACACGACTAGGGTTTGCATGCTTTAGTGAGTTTTGTGGGCTGCTTGGTTCTTTTTGTATTAGTGCATATCTGTGCATTTTGCATCGCTGCGGTTTGTTGGTGGTATTCTTGTAGGTGTCACTATTTAGTTTCTTTTCCTGCATCAAGTGTTTCTGTGGTCTTCGTCTCCTTTGTTAAGTTTCTTGATAGAGTATTCAGCACCTTTTTATAGGTCTTCGTCTACTTTATTAAGACTGCTTGGCTAGGGATTCAGCACCACGGCTTCTTGATTAGGGTTATAGTAAACTAGGTATTCGTGCCTGTTGAAGGAGGATGCTTGACTTTGCGGATATTATCTTGGAGGATGTTGCTTCCCAGGATTTTGCTGATACAATCTTGGGAGCGACGGATCCTAGCTTGGAAAAAGGCCCTCCTTTGCATGAGGATCTACAGAAAAAGGCTGGAGTGATTGCGGAATCAAACCCGAGGGTTTCGGTATGGGAACGTCTTTCTCCGGCGGTTAGGGGTGATCATGGTGTGGTTCCTAACAAATCCTTTGCAGATATTCTGGGTGGTTCTTCTTTGACTGAGCTTACTTATTTCCCAGTTGAGAAAAGTGTGAAACCGCGGATCTGTTTTCCCTTGGAAGTTACAAAAGGTATGGCTAAATCGTTTCAATCGGTTCTTTATGGTTATTTTCTTGGTCCCCGTCTTCCTTTCCCCATTGTTTTACGTGCGGTTCAGAATGCTTGGGGAAAATTTGGTCTAATTGATGCTATGGTTAATGATATGGGGTATTTCTTTTTTCGCTTTAATGATGAGGGTGGGTATAACCAAGTTATTGAAACGTATCCCCTTATGATTAGAGGGAGGCCGCTGTTTGTCTCTTTCTGGTATCCCTCCAACGGCCTAAAGAAGCCTGAGCACAATTCCTGCCCGTTATGGGTAAAGTTTTTTAATATCCCTCTAGTTGCTTTCAATAAAGAGGGTATCAGTCGTATTGCTAGTGCCATAGGCGTCCCATTGCGTTTAGATGCTTGCACTGCCTCCACTTGTGATAGAGCATGGGGTCGTACTAACTTTGCTAAAGTGTTGGTGGATGTGTGGGCCGTGGGTGAAATGCAGAGGAATATTGAAGTGGTTATTCCAAGGCTATCAGGTACTGGAGAGGATATCATTAATGTTGTTCTGGAATATGATTGGGTTCCTTCCCAATGTTCAGTTTGTAAAGTGTTTGGTCATCGAACGGTGTCATGTATGAAAGGGGATATGGCAAAGCCAAGGGTTTCTGATACTGTCACGGAAAAAAGGGGGTTTAAAGAGATCAGGCGGAAACAGTGGAGGCAAAAGGATACATCAGGCCGTAAGGATTTTCAGGCGACATCATCTGGAGCGATCACAGGTACACATGATACTTTAACTGGGGTTGGTGTTTTAAAACGGGTTCAGGAGGTCTCCAAACCCTCGGGGAACGATACAAATGTCAAACATGTTTCAAGTACTGGGGATTCTACGAATTTGGAGGGGAAGGATAATGGAAAGGTGGACAGTCAGTTCTGTACGGTGAATGCGGGACGTACGCCAAGAGGGAGAGAGGATGTCTCCAATGTTAAAATCTTATCGAAAGGGAATCCGGAGTTAGTGCAAAAGGTGGTGCAAGCTTTTAAACCAAGGAGAGGTGCAGTTCTTGATCTGAAAACTAGCAATCGGTTTTCTTCTTTTTCTGACGAGTCTAGTGATGATGACGAAATGGAGATCATTGATACGGAGGGGCATATCAAGGCAAAACGAGGAGAGGATGTTCCACCTTCTTTGTCTCAATGATTAAGTTGGCTGCTTGGAATATTAGGGGATTTAATGCCCTTATAAAACGAAAGGAGGTACGTGATTTAATTACTCTCAAACATCTTTCTTTATGTTGCATCATTGAGTCCAAAGTTGTTTATAATCACTTGGGGGATGTGTGTAGTAGTGTCTTTGGTAATTGGAATTGGATTACAAATGGTTCTGTATGTGATCAAGGCACTCGCCTAATTATTGCTTGGGACCCGTCGGTTTTATTTGTCCTTATGATTGAGCAGCATCAATAATACGTACACTGTGAAGTTCTCTTTGGTCAAACCGAACCCCTCTTTATCACATTTGTTTATGGGTGTAATACGGGTACAGAAAGGCGTGAGCTTTGGCGGGCATTTGGGGAATTTCATGCCTTTAGTCAGAGGAAAGCATGGGTTGTGATGGGTGACTTTAATTCAATGCTTTTTCCTCATGATGGGTTGGGGGGTTCCTCCAGGAGGAATTCTGACATGGAGGAGTTTCATCTCTGTCTGGAGGATGCTGAATTATTTGATATTTCGTATCAAGGGTGTCAATTTACTTGGATCCAGAAACCTTCGGGGGGAGAGGGTGTTATGCGAAAACTTGATCGTATTTTGGGCAATTCGGTTTTTATCTCTAGATTTGGGGATGCTTCGGCTTTCTTTGAACCTAGGGGGATTTCTGACCATTCTCCGGGTATTCTTTCTTTTCAAGTTGGAAGACGTCTTCGACAGCGTGGCTTTAAGTTTGACAATTTTGTGACTTCTCATAAGGACTTCCTTGCTTCGGTGGAGGAGGTGTGGACGAAACCTCAGAGTGGATCTTACATGAAGAGGGTTCTTCGGAAATTGAAAGATCTAAAGGTGGTTTGTCGGCGTCTCCGAAATTCGTATGGCTGTTTGGATAAAAGGGTTGTTCAGCTAAAGACGGAACTCGATGTCGCACAATTGGCTTGTGATCTTGACCCGTTTAATGATTTGCTAAAGGAGGACATCGCTCACCTCTTGTTAGCTTATCAAGAAGCTAGGAATAATCAGGTGGAAATGGCTCGACAAAAAGCGAAGATATCTTGGCTAAATGAAGGGAATGGTAATTCTAAATTCTTCTTTCATGCTATGAAAGAAAAGCGTAATCGGAACCATATTGCTACGATCAGGGATTTGGCTGGCACAGTTTATGATCATCAGGAGGTATCTACAGCTTTCATTTCACATTTTAAAGGTATTTTAGGTACCTCTAATGTTTTGGTTCCTCCCTCTATGGGGGATTGTATGTTTGGTCATTCTTTATCGTTATCGGAGTCTCTTCATTTAATTCGTCCTATTTCGGATATGGAAATAAAGGATCTTTGTTCGCCAATGGAAATGATAAGGCGGGACCGGATGGGTATTCTTCTAAATTTTTTAAATCAACTTGGAATGTGGTTGGGAGGGATGTTCTCATTGGGATACATAATTTCTTCTACTCTGGCAACTTGGAGTATCAGCTGAATCATACTCTTCTTTGTCTTGTACCGAAGGTCCCTACTGCTTCTTGTGTTACTGAGTATCGGCCAATTGCTTGTTGCAATGTGTTGTTGAAGTGTATTAGTAAGATTATTGCTGATCGGATGAAAGGATCGCTGGATGTTCTTGTTAGCAAGGCTCAATCTGCGTTCATTCCTGGGCGCCAAATYACTGATAATATCTTAATGGCGTATGAACTGGTTGCTGGGTATCAGCGATCGGAAGGAGAACCCAAATGTGCGTTTAAGATTGATATTCGAAAGGCTTATGACACAGTTGATTGGCAGTTTCTTTTAGACATGCTGAAAGGAATGGGTTTTCATCCAGTCATGATAAACTGGATAAAGACTCTGATCACGTCTCCCTCTTATTCTATTTGTGTTAATGGTCAGCCGGAGGGTTTTTTTCATGGTAAACGGGGCCTTCGCCAAGGCGATCCTCTCTCCCCTTATCTGTTCACTGTTGTTATGGAGGGTCTCTCGATGCTTCTTTCGAAGTGTATAGAGGAAGAGGCTAACTTTTCGTATCATCAAGGTTGTGCAGATATTAAATTGACTCATTTATGCTTTGCTGATGACTTGTTTATCTTCTCCAAGGGGGACATTATTTCAGTGGAGGTTATTAAACGTGGCTTACTATTGTTTGAAGAACGATCGGGCTTATCGCCAAGTCTGGAGAAGAGTGAGGTGTTTTTCGGGAATGTATCAATGGAGGATCAAAGCCGTATTCGTGAAAGTTTATCTTTTTGGCCAGGGGTTTTCCCTATTCGTTACTTAGGCGTTCCTCTTTCTCCGGTTCGTCTGAAGGTACGTGATTTTAATCCCCTTGTGTTAAAGCTTAAATCTCGTCTGTTAAATTGGAAGAACAAATTCCTCTCTTATGGATGGCGTCGTCAACTAATTCTCTCAGTTCTTCACTCAATGCAAACATTTTGGATGTCGGTATTCCTTGTACCGGCAGCCATGATCCATGAAATTGAGAAGCTTTTTTGTAATTTTTTATGGAATAAAGCAGAGGGTCAGATGGGTAAATGTCGAGTTGCTTGGGATTCTATTTGCTTGCCTATTGAAAGTGGGGGTCCTGGTTTGAAAAGACTTGCGACTTGGAATAGGTGTCTTCTTTTCAAACATATATGGGATATTTTAAAGGGAAGAAATACGATGTGGGTCTCTTGGATTCACTCTTACTGTGTTCGGGGCCGTAACTTTTGGGTTATCAAGAAGAGGAATGAGTGGTCATGGATTCTCCGGAGTCTTTTAGACTTAAGACCTCATTGCCRAAGATTCTTTATCTACAATGTGGGTAATGDCTTATCTAYGCATGCTTGGGAAGATACATGGAGCGAGTCGGGCCCTCTTATTCATTCCTTGTCTTATAGATTCATTAATGGGCAGGGTTTTCACAATAATTCCACGGTATCTGATGTAATGCACATGTTTGGTTCTAATTGGCCGGAGGATTGGATTCAACATTATCCTCAGCTGCAAAATGTTCTTATTCCGTCTCCCAGTCAAGTGGAGGATAAAGTCAGATGGCTTGGCTTGATAATAAATGTGCTCGGGGTGATTTTGAGGTAAAAATGGCTTGGAAGACTATACAAGAGGTGAATCCGGTTGTGCATTGGTATAAACTAGTTTGGAATAAAGCTTACATTCCAAAACATGCTCTTTGTATGTGGATGGCTTGCCAGAAGAAATTGCCAACCCAAGATCGTATAAGCCAGTGGAAGCATGAACCACCGGACTTAAAGTGTGTTCTGTAAATTAGTGATTGAAACGCACAATCACTTATTTTTTGAATGCACTTACTCTAGCAGTATTTGGGAAGGTATTAAAATGGAGGTGGGATTAACGAACTATCCAAACAATTGGGAGGATATCCTTTACAGAGGGTCCACTCAAACTTGGAAATCTTGGTCTATGGTTCAAAAACTTGGTTTATCGGCAACGGTTTATAATATCTGGAGGGAACGAAACAGGAAGTTCTTTGACAATTTTAATCATTCGGAGGATAAAGTTATTGCTGAGATCAAGATGCAGATTCTTCATCGGATGGCTTCGATCGTTTGACAAAGTCTGCTCACTTTTTGCCAATTAGAGAGGACTATAAAATGGAGAAACTAGCTCAGATTTTTATAAACGAAATCATTGTTAGACATGGAGTACCTACTTCTATCCTATCGGATAGAGATAGTCGCTTTACATCAAGATTCTGGCAATCACTTCAACATGGTATGGGTATTCGCTTAAATTTGAGCACTTCATATCACCCTCAAACGGACGGCCAAACAAAGAGAACCATTCAGACCTTGGAAGACATGTTGCGGGCATGCGTTTTGGAGCTTGGTGGAAGTTGGGACACGCATCTTCCTTTAGCGGAATTCGCTTACAACAACAGTTACCATTCTAGCATCCAGTGTGCACCATATGAAGCTTTGTATGGACGAAGATGCAGATCTCCAGTATGTTGGTCAGAAATAGGTGATAAGCAACTAATTGGACATGACATTATTCAAGAAACCACTGAGAAGATCGTGTTAATAAAAGATCGACTTAAGGCTGCTAGAGACCGACAGAAGAGCTATGCTGACAATCGGAGGAAACCTTTAGAATTTCANAGTTGCCGTAGTTTCTCTTGCTGATTGCTTTTGTATTGGTGACGCTTTTATTGTCTTTATAAAATTGTCTGGGGAATCCCTTCCCCTTTCAGTATACCCATTAAGGCCTGATCGAACTAAACCAATTATTGTCATTTTGACCTAATTAGACTCCTTATAAAGAAATGAGCTTATTAAACCATTTCGAGTCCAATTGGATTAATTATATGATCCATTTAGTATTATTTTGACAAAAATGACTCGATTAAAATAAGTAGGCACATTGTACCTACTAGTACCAAATGGACCCAATAAGGAACCCTAAGAACCATTATACTTCAATTAGTCACATTAACGTCTAGTTATACCATTTTTGACTCATTCAGTATCATTTTGACCCAATTAGACTCCTCAAAGAGAGATGGGGCGCTTATACCCATTAGGTTCTAATGAGACTAATTACGACCTAGGTTGTGTCATTGTGACCCAATTGGACTCCTTGTGGAGCATTGTGACCCAATTGGACTCCTTGTGGAGAAATAGCCCATTATATCCACGAAGAAGAAATGGAGCCAATACGGACCATTAAGACCCATTCTACCTCGACTGGCCCCATTAACTTCTGATTAGAATAATTTTAACCCATTTAGCACCATTATAACTCAATTAGACTCAAAATGGAGGAATAAGCCAATTATACCCTTTAATGTCTGATCAAATTAAATATTATCCAATTAATGTCATTTTGACCCAATTAGACTGTATATAAAGAAATGGGCCAATTAAACCAATTAGGGTCCAACGAAATTAATTGCCATCCATTTAGTGTCATTTTGACAAACATGAGTTTATTAAAAGAACTGTGTACAGTCTACCTACTAGGACCAAATGGACCCATTAAGGACCCGTAAGGACTATTCGACCTCAATTAGTCACATTAACGTCTAGTTATACTAACTACAACTCATATAGTATCATTTTTTCCCAACAAGACTCGTCAAGGAGAAATGGGCCCATTAGGATCTAATGAGACTAATCATGACCTAATTAGTGTCATTTTGACCCAATTGGACTTCGTAAGGAGAAATAGCCTATTACATCCTCTAACACGAAATGGGCCTAGTGAGGAACAAAAAAACCAATTCTACCTCACTTACTCTCATTAACTTCTCATTCCCCTTGTGTTAAAGCTTAAATCTCGTCTGTTAAATTGGAAGAACAAATTCCTCTCTTATGAGGGCGTCGTCAACTAATTCTCTCAGTTCTTCACTCAATGCAAACATTTTGGATGTCGGTATTCCTTGTACCGGCAGCCATGATCCATGAAATTGAGAAGCTTTTTCCTAATTTTTTATGGAATAAAGCAGAGGGTCAGATGGGTAAATGTCGAGTTGCTTGGGATTCTATTTGCTTGCCTATTCAAAGTGGGGGTCTTGG